TCCTTAGTAAATCTTTGACTTTCTTCCCTATGATGAATTCTAAGACGTTGTATACAGATATTCTTGAGAGCGTTTTGTAGAGAATCTAAGTATTTTTTTTATCACCTGAAAACTAATTACGACTGATGTTCTCGCGTCATTTCTTCCATCTGAATGGCTTCAAAGGTTATAAAAACATGGTTTCGGAAATGTGATTAGTTTACAAAGATTAACAAATTTACCGTTGATGCGGTATCTTTATTGGGCTGACGATCAAACAAACCGATAAGGATCTTATTTAGATTTATTTTTGAAATAAAATCTGAGTTCGCTCAGATTAAGTTTGTAATATATAAACGAAAACATTTAATTTCAAATAGACATTCTGTTATCTCATTGCAGACTTGCCCATTCAATTCCAAGAACAATATTTTTTTTTTATATAATCCCTCAGACCCACCCACACTCAGATCAAGTGATAGGTGGATATACTATGGAAAATATAAATTAGTATATCCACCACTCACATATACCTTTAGTCGAAAAATAAAAATAATTAAAAATCTAACAAAGGCATATGTGAGTGATCTTCATTGTGTAACCAAATTTGTATGCATTTATTTCTGTTATTGTGGGACTTTGCTTTCAGCAAAGTCCCAGTTTGTTATCGAAATGTCAATTCTTTTTTTTTTTTTTTTTTTTTTTTTTCGATTTTTACACACCTTCCTGAGCTTAGACTACAATAGTTGCAGCAACCATTCAACATTCACGAACCTTAGATATAGGCGACGATGTGCATAAATATATTTTGGATCTTTTTTGCAAAACCGGAAGTGCCACAGTTCAATATATGCAAGAATAGATAATCGGCTCTAGAAGTCGTATTTTTCGGTCGATTTTCTTTGGGTTTGCATTTTTGGAATCTACTGTTAAAATCTGAAAGAATAGCAGTTTCAAAATTTCAAAATTCGAAAATTTTTTTGCTTTTTGTCTGATTAATCTGAATAAAATTGAGCAAAGACAGTTTAAGAATGTAAACAA